GAACTAGTCACATTAATATACTAATTTTAAAATAATCAACCGTTTTTTTCTTATCTCACTAAAACAATCTATACTAATTTTTCAATTTTCCAAGTGGATGATTATAAATAGAAATTCAATTGTAAATGATGTTAGACTTTTACGGCATAAATTAATATAAATTTTACCATTTTGGAAATAATAGTAATTAACCAAACAGAAAGGTGATAAAGTGGTAACATAAATTTTTGTAAATTTCAAGTGAACATCGTGAGTAGTGGATAGTTTAGAAACAAAATTTATTTATATATTCTGTTTCTATCAAGGTTGGCTTTTATCATGCAACATTTTCGAGAGAAAAAACGTTAATAGTAGTGATAGATGGTGGCTAGCATCGGAATCTAGGGCACGCGTTCCGTTCTATTTGAGACTCATCAGCTGGATGTATTTTCGGCAGCTAAGTGGATAACGCTATGGCGTTTGAAGCAGACGGTACTGGTTTCGATACCCGAAGTGGACATCAACTTTAGGATGCAGGTACATTCAACTGACCAGTTGCATTTAAGATGTAACTTACATCCTGTATTCAACTGCTGGCCACCATCCATCTCTGCCTATAATGCTTGTGACTTAAGGCAATATTATGACAATCCACACAGGATGCATATATACCAATAAGAGACTGATCAATCGCAGTTCTAATCATTCAATCAGTCTCAACGTGGAACCTGTGCCTATGTATATCGGTTCAAGTTGCCATACCACATTAGCACAGAGAAATGAAATTGTCAGGCCAAATCCCACAATACTGGATTTAGTAGCACCATCAGTATCAGTGGTAGTTGGAAAGATTAGATTTCGAAGCTACGATTCTAAAAGAAAAGAAAAATCAGTGAAATAAACACAAAACACGTTATGAGTAATTTATAAGACAAGGAACGGATGCACGTGCGCCATTAAAAACGATTGTGAACCATGTTTTTCAAAATCACTAACCATTGATTACGATAATCATTGACTTATGGATTGATGCCATGTTTTGGTTTGGCCGACCCTAGCTTTCTCCTAGCTTACTCTTGTATCAGACAACATCACCCGTCGAGACAGGAAGTGGTTGTTCATGCGTAACATATGTCTCGTCCACCTCAGTTGATGAAGATTTACTACTTCATCAATCGATTTCTCATCTCTACCTAGTACTTGATTCCTAACCCATGCATTACTTACTCCGCGGTCCAAAAAATACACAAGCAATTTTTATTAGACAACTATAATCGAATACTAGTAACCTGCAGTTGTCTTCTATTCCTAATAGCCATTTTTCACGCTTATAAAGTAGAACGTAGTGAACTGTTTTGCAGTGAACTCTCCCTTTGGTTGGGGGACAGATATTTCGCCTACGCCACAAGTGACGCAAGTTGGCATAAGCCAGTCCAGCCTTCTAAATCCATACCGAGATTTCGTCAGACACCAACACATCAGTACTTATGAGACTCGAGGTCAGTGAAGCGATCGATGCTTTCAGCAACTTCACTCCCTGTAATTAATTCAGAGGTTGATACAGGTCAATCCTCAAACAACATTTCACATTCGGAGGAAGAGAAACGCATACTAAACATGCATTGTTGCTGAAGGTGGTCAGAAGACTACATTTTACAATGTCTCCACTAAATAGAACTATATAATCTGCGTATTTTAAGTCAGTACTTTAATCTCTTGTTTGAAGATCAATCCCGGGATAGTCAAACGATGAAGTTGCATGTATATTATAACGCTAAATAAAAATGGACTAATCGAACAACCCTGACAAACATCACTTGAAGTAGGCGATTCTGATGACAGTTGGCCATAAGCTTTGACTCGATCAATAGTGTTCGAGTGGAGAGCCTGTACAATGTTAATGTACTTGCTTGCTACACCTTTTAATGATAGACACTGCCACAGAACCTTACGATCAATGGAGTCGAATACCGCCTTAAGGTCAAGGAATACAACTATAGTGCATCTATGTTGTAGAACCCGCCGAATGGTGAATATTTGGTCTATACATCCATGACCAGGTGTTAAAACAGGCTGATTTTGTCGGGTTTGCTCTTCACGAGCTCCAGTTAGACGTCGAAGTATTATTGACACTAATACTTTAGACACTATATTAGTTTAACTGATTTATTTGTATTCGTCATGAGAGGTTTCTTGTCCTTCAATATAGACTGGGGTGATTGGTGATCGAGACCAGTCCTAAACATCAGTGGGAAGATTCAAACAACCAATACAAGATGAGTTGAACTTATTAGTAGTGTTGATCATAAAGCTTTAATCATGTTTATGTTGTATCTCTGTAACTAATGTTTCATCGATCTTTATCCAACAATATCCACTTTCTTAACTGTCAGCATACAGTTAGTTACGTAGTCTCTCTCTCCATATATATATATATATATAATGTTGAGTAATATGGTATTTTTTTCTTCAAAAATGTTCTGATATCTAATAATATTGAACATTAGTTTTCCAGTGATTGGTAGTGTTGTTATTCATTTTGATTATGTATTTCATCATTCCTAGGCATATAATTATGGTATAGCAAATTTAATTCTTAAAATTAATTTGCTACTATTTTTTTTAAAGATATTAATTTATTGAGTGGTCATACTCGGGAAGAAAGTGTATAGGTATCATGAATGTCATTTCCTAGTTTGATATTCTTCAAGCTGTAACGGTTCAATCTTAATTTTAATGTGAAAATTAATCCTAAGAAAACAAACGTTTTAGTCAGTCAATCAGTTAACTAACACCCTGACATAATACACGTGATGTCGTGTTATTTAGATTAGTGGCTATATTGCAACTTTTTAATCATTAGTAGTCAAACATTAGTCTGATTTCGGTTCAGTGAAATCTTTGGCTGTGTTGAATTGAGTCATATCGTGAAGTTCAATAATACCGTCTTGTTTGAATTCTATATAAGGTAATTGATTGAATCCGTAGATGAATATTTTAATTTAATGTCGTTCAATATTTTTGGTAGTTACTTATATGCCTTAAGTTTTTATCACCTACCAATAAACAATAACTTCTGCTACTTTTTAATTGTGGTCATCTTCACCGGGATAAAATTCATTCCTTTTGAAACTATCTTAGCCATATTTAATTTTATTCGGTGTCATTTATACTATTATTCTGCAAATGTATACCTTTTCCAATTTTACGTTGTTCATGATTGACTGCTATTTATATAAAATCCGAAACAGTGATTGGTAGTAATAATAGTGGATTGTGTCTGGCAGTAGAATCTAGGACGCGCTTCCCGTCCTATTCGGAAATCATCAGCTGGATATGCCTGCCGCATCTGGGTGTTGATGCTTACACTAAGATTCATATCCAGTAAGTTTTGCTTCAAATACCCACCCATTGTTCACTGAGCTTGTTTGCCCAGATAATTACTAGCTTGTGCATGTATATGGTTTTTATACCCTTATTAACGAGGTTTCGGTCCTCAATAACAACAACAAGATCATTTAAGGGTTACTAATGTTGATTTTATAATAATAATAATAATAATAATAATAATAATAATAATATTACTTAGTTTTTTTTAAAACCAAATGCTTCACAGCGTTTATGTTTGATGAGATTACCCCTCTTTTTTGCAATCTGACATTCTCCCTGGGCTTATCTCTGATTTCAAACTAACGTTCACATATTGAATCACCAGTTGCAGCTCAAATAAAGCATTTACTATTAGCATTATTGTTATTGTTATCTCAAGTGTAATATAAGTCATTTTTCTGTTAAAGTAAAACTATTACTTCCAAGTGTTGCATTACTATCCAAGTAGTATCTCATTATCACTTTTGTTTTATATATGTGCAATGAAGTTGATGTATTGATAATATTGGTGTACAGTACAAATGATGTTGTAATTCAATTGAATTATTATTTACATTCAATTAGATATTATCTATTGTTATGGTAATGATTATGAACAGTGTACCCCATTGTTACATATTACCGCTTCATAATATGTACTACTTGCTAATTATTTTGTATAAATTAAGACATGACAAGTACGAAATAATGCATCAACACTAGTCCATATCTTGTTTTCGTTGATGTGCTTTATTATTAGATCGCTTTTGAGGTTATCCATTTTGTACCGTATATTGTAATTCAAGGAAGTATGCAAGCTGTTGGTATGTTTTCTTGGTTGTATGGAAAAACAACTTGAGGACTACTGAATCGTGTACTACTCAGTATCTTCACCAGTGGAGAAATACTCGTTCCACTTCCCTGTTAAAATAACTTTTTATTGCTCTCTGAACACATTTATAAGCTGTAATGCTACTAGTTACTAGTTTATTATTAATTTTCTACGTAATTGATTGTTTAGACAATACTTCATTTATAATATAATAGAAGACAAATATTATTGTCTATAATTGTTATTACCAAGCTCGTATGTACTTTTTATTCAAGTACATGACAATTGGGTCAAATAAACAATCTCGTTTGCATAATGATTACTCGATTTGTATTTATGAATATCACTTTTCAATATGTTTGTTTAATCCTAATACTAGTGTTTTCAGTCATATAAGACTGAAATATCAGTCGATATGTTTATGTCAGTCATCTGTCTGTATCAGTAAATATCATTCTGTGAAGCTAGGTTAGACTGTGGTCAGATGTTGATATTTAACACCACAAGATATAAATAGTTTGTTTGAAGTTGGATTTTCGTCGAAGTTTTGTCTTTGGCTGAAAACAGACTGTGAACTTTTATATATCTCTTCGATTTGGTTAGTAGCAGAACCCTTATATCGAGTGACATGAATCTTATGTTTATAAGTCTGAAATGAGGTGATACAACACAGTTGTCTGGTTCTTAGTCTAATGAATCGCTTGTATTTCAGTAAATAATATATTTCTTATTGTTATTTTAATTATGAACCGTTTTTAATTATTTAAATATGCAACAGTGTCTATTTATCTTTTTGTTTTTGTTTTTTAATTTTTATAAGACTCTTCTTGATAATGAAGAAGTGAATTTAGATGAACTGGAAAATAACAGTAGTTCTCTCAAAAGAATCCAACGAAAAATTGGTGGTTCTGATTGGGTTGATTCAGATGGTGATACAACAACAAGTCCAGTAAGCAGAGGTCAATCCGAGATTGGGACTAGTAATACAGATGCTCAAAGATTAGCATTGTTGATTCAAAATCAATTGGATGCAATAAATAAAGAGATCAAAATGATACAGGTAAAGTTAACGTCTGATCTTCTATGTGATGTAGATTAGTAACAAAGTATGGGTTCGTGTATCTGTTTCTGGGCCATAGTTTTTGTTAGTGGGTCCAGTAATGCTAAGTGGCTGAATAAACCGAAGATCGAAGATCCCGTGTTCGATTTCTGCGTTTGGGATCGTAGATGCGCACTGCCGGAGTTCTATTCTAGGATGAAACAGCCTTTCAATGCTTCCAGGTTTCCCATCGTAGCCTAACATTGTTCGGTCCATGATTTCAATGAAGGAAATTTTTATCTCTGCTAGAAGTTCTCATAACTCCAAGGTTATACATAACCATTGTATAGAAACATTGAATTATGTATTTTATCTGACTGGCACTCGAAACTTCAATCGTGTTTTGACTTCTTATTTGTTCTGGCTTCCTGGTCAGTAACTCATGAATTCAGTGCTCGAAGTTGGTGACAAAATATTTTAATCCTAAAAAACCAATAAATATATAAAAAGTTTATACTAAATAGCTCAACAGATTTTTACACATGACTGATTAACTCAAATTGATTTCAGTGAACCATTTATACAGAATTTCAAAAAATTGTGCGATCATAAATTCACTGACTAGAAAGTTGTATTACTATTTCTTTAAAATTAGTTACTTTTTTGTACAAGAAAATTAGCTACATACAATAATTCATCTGAGCTTGAGAAATTTTCGAATTTATATCTTATTGATATTAAACTGTAAGGTGATAGAACAATCGTTAATAAATATTGATAAATAAGGAGTAGATAACAGGTTATATATATAATGTTTTATGCATTTTTCGCGTATTTACGTGTTTAACTGAATTCAAACAGTCCCTATATTACTTAACAAAAGAAAAACGATGAACTTTGTTACACTCTACTCTGATTTGTTAACTACCTATCTTGTTACTAGATTTAAGATGTCTCCAGAAGTTTCATTACTACTAAGTTTACCTATTAATTTCTTGCATTTGTGAGCGTTAATGTAATTACTTGACTGAAGTACAAGTTTAATTGTTTACTTCATAAGGCTTTTTATTCAACTGACTTTCCAACATTTACTTGTGTTATTTTATTTAGGAAGAGAAACAAACTGCTGAACAGTTAGCTGAAGAACTAGAACTACGTGTTGGTTGTACTGGTACAAATCGTAATGGCAGTTCACAGGGACAATTAATCGATGATTATTACAGTCAACAACGCGGCAATGATACAAACGAAGCATATTATTATACAAATCAAGATGGACGTCTTAATGCGAATAATGTTATGCCAAGTTTATTACCTAATTTTGGTCCAACTGGTTGGTCACCTCCACCATCACCATTAAGTTCTAGGTCAACACCATTCGGTGGTATTTCTAGTGATTCTTTCAGTGGTAGTTTTAATAATCCTAATCGAAATGCATCATCGTCAGTATTATCATCTGTGGTAGTTAGTAAAGAATCTGAACGATCCATTCCTCAATATGCTGCTCCTACTCCATTGGCCGTAGATCCACGTCGTAATCTTCAACATCAGCCTATTCAATATTCACAACCGAGTAGTAATAGTGGTTTTATGTCGCGTAGTAGTCATTTTGAACAACAAAGATCAATGTCAGCCGCTGGACGTCCATTACATCAGGTAACTGATTCATTTAAACAATGGGAAAACATGTCTTGTCTATGTCTGATTTTATCATCATTCATTGTAAAATTATGACAAAGTTTTCACAAATGATATGTGTATGCGTATACTTTGTTGCATGTATGAATTTAGTTCAGACTTATTAGCAGTGAAACAGTTATTGCTAATGGCATTGAATGATCATAATGATATACAACATTCTGGTTAAAGTTGAAAATGTTTATAGTCGGACCCCAACCTAGTGGCCCTAATGATTATACGTTCATCACAAGAACATAATGTCTTGGGTTCGATCCCTGGTGTTGTCGTGGATACCTTACTGTTGAGAAGTTTATATGAAAACCAGGCAAATGTTCGCTGACCTATGGACTATAATGTTACAGTAACAAAGATCAATCTGCGATGAATACAACCTATAAATCTAATATTATTCTCTTCTCTATTTGTCATGTATGCAGAATCATGTTCTAATATGCTCTAATGCTTAGTCTTTATTTATTGTAGTTCTGACTAGAAACTACGCTTAATTTTACTCACAAGTATTTGTTTAGCTTTCATGTATTTATTCTTCTTAAATGTCTAGTTAAGTAACGGTAACACGCTATTATATATATATATAGTGATATACTAACACAGTAAGTTTCAATGTTAGTCTAAGGAAAATCGGTTCGTGATGTGAACTATTAACACTTTTGAAAAGTAATAATCATCTAGGAAAATTGGAAAGTAAAGATACAAACAATGAAAAACAATATGAATCATATCACTCTGGTTAATAAATTAGTATTACCATGGTTAGCATAAATCACTTTCGAACACATAGTGGGGTTGGTGTTAACCTTCGATGCGGCCAAGTTTTCAACAAACCTAAGTAATCGCTTCATACAAAAACACGAAGGCTGAATTGAGATCGTTCTAATAACATATTTCAATTGTGTTTGGTAATGAAAAAAGATGAATGTTTGTCTCCTGCTCTTGCTGGATCAACTGACTTTATTTGTTTACACAACTGTTTTGTTACAAGCTTAATAATGATTAAATACTTCAATGTCATAAGTGACTGTCATGTAATATTGTGCTCTTCTAATTATTGCCTTCTTATTTAGTTTCTAGTATGTTATTTTTATATTTTCGTATGTGAATTTTAAAACCATTTTTAAATGAGAATGAGTGATAGTTGAGGTGAATATTGTTTTCGCTCTTCCTTTACGGTGTGTGTACACAGAGTGATATTGAAACACATCGCTCAATGTTATCCATTGATTTTTAAACCGGCTGTGTAAATCTTTGGTCAAATAAATATGTCTCACATGCTAGTATACAAACACTTACATGGTTAGTGACTGTTGTTATTTGTTGTAGTATAAATATATAAACTGTAAGTTATTGGGTTATACTAAACATCATATGTTTTAGTTCATACAATTTTTGTTTACTCAAACATTACCGCTGTGAGCAAAGGATCATCGTTAGATTATTTTACATCATCCACAAAAACTTAATATCATAGTATACCTTAAATCATATATAGGCTAATCTAGTTATACTTACGACTTGTAAACGTTAAGCTATTACGACATAGCAGTATCTTTTATTACGATAATTGATGTATTTGATGCGGTTAGTATTTTAAACCAGAGAGCTCGAAGTATCCCTAACAGTGTACTATGAATCACTTTTCCTGACCGTCGATTTCCAATATGACTATTTCTAGTGAACAGTTTCATCCAACAGAATATATCTTTATCAAATTCGCAAACCTATCTAAGTTAAACAATCGTTGAAAACCTGAAATGCAATGCAGCGTCTTTTCGTTTTAGTATGAAACTCCTCTGCAGTGCGTATCCACCAAAGGCAGTAGAACATGGTTACGCAGTATAGTTGATTGCTTAAAGTTAGATTTGTGCATCATTGGATTCTGCGTTAGTGGTTTAGAGGTTAACCGTTCACTCACTAGACTTCTGGTCTCAGACTTGCCAATGCGCAGTGCTGAAATGAAATGCTCATCTTGTTGTACCAAGTTTGTAATGATTTTCTTAAATCTGTTCGTGATTTCGACGAAATTAAACAATGTCCACAACCTAAAACTGGAAGAATATATTTTATTGGCTTTGATGTGGATGATTGTTCCTGAAACTCAAAAGGGTTCTTAATTTATGTCATAAGGTGTATGTTTAATATTTATAGTACTGACATGTTATTTAAGTGTCAATCTGTTTACCTAGTCTTAAATCTCATATTTAACTACATTACTTTATATGTAATTGTAATTAGTCATTCGCCGATTACCTTATGGTAATCCTGATGATTCTTAACATTCCAAGTAAAGAATTAGATACAAGATGAGACTGTATATTCAATATGTAATGATGATTAGTGATATCTTTCTTGATTGGGTCAAGATTATACTAAAGATTAATCAAATTGCTAGCTGTGAACTTAATTGTTTAAACCTTTGAAACGCTTGATACATTGAGTCAATTTATTTTGCATGATTTGCAATGTACATTTGACCAACTCTGGTTTAATCTCATTCGTATTTGCATTTGAATCACACTTCATCGTCTTCAAGTCATCCTCCTCTTAATGATAAAATGTTTGATGGGCTTGATAATTTGAATTTAATCATCTGAGTTTGCTTGTTCTGTGCCCAGACTACCGCCTTATCAGTGTTCACTTAGGTTGTTTTTTTGTGATATAGGGTCTTAGTAACATTTAGATAGAAGGTATGGTTCCTTTATGTGCTGAAAATAGATGAGTGTACTGAGAAATATGTGTATGCGGAATAGAGAATTTAGAAGGAGGAAAAAGTAATTGAGGTAGTAATTCAGTAGCCACATCAGTAATGAGAGAAATTAACAAAAGTCAGTCTCAGTAGTTCCAGTGGATAAAGCTTCGGACACTTGAAGCAAAAATGTCCTGTTTTCATGTTTTATTGTATTGATCAACACTAGTATGTATTACAAGTACAACAAATCAAAAAGTCCCAAATAGAGTGAAATTCGCATCCTGGATTCCATTGCTACCCACATGCCATATATACTAAAACTTGTGTCAAGGCAATTTACGTATAAAAATATAGACCAGTCAGTTGTACTCCTGATTAATAACAATCGTAATACTTCAAACCTATACCAATTAAACCCATAAGTTGATGTTAGTTTCCGGTTCCGGATAAATTTTGAGTTTTATATTGACCTACCATGTTCTTCGTTTCCTTGTTAATATTCATTTAACGTTGTTTCGTAAATTGAGTCAATAATCGATTCAATGATTTAATGTACGGATAGAGTGGTAAAAGGTTAGTCGAAAAAAGGATCACAAATAAGGCCTAAGAAAATATTGGTTTTTTGTCGTTTTCAAGGATTTATGTTTTCCCGTTGTTTGCGTTAGTTTTCAAAAAGAAAGATTCTGGTTTAGAGTCTTAGTACGAACATCAACATTGGGATATTTAGCAGCTACATTCATGTTCACAAGTCCTAAATAGAAAAAATCCACTCATTCTGGATTTGATTATCAGCCCATATTTAACTTTAATAGTTGAATACGTTTTACTTGTAGCTTGTTGATATTCCTTTAATCATCAGTCAGTTTCATATACACATAATTATTAAATTGTCTCAGTTGTATTACTGAATATTTACTTTGTCCAATCTCATAGTAATGTTGATCATCATTTATTCTAAGTATTTATCGGTGTCGTCATTGTTGTATAGTGTTGTGTTGTCGATTCATTTATGTTTTTTCTCATAAAATGTTTTCATAAAGCTCATTCTCATTGTATAAATGTAACATTAATCATTCTATCTGACATTCTTAATTTTTCTTTCTTACAAACAAAACAAAACCTTCGCTGTATTCTACAAATGTGTCTTATGCATCAAATCTAATATATATGTACATGTATATATATGTGTAAGTCTCTGGGCATGAATGGTGGCAATTCATTGTCCACACCACATCTTAATCCTCAGTCATCATCCTCTTCATCTTCATCGCCATCTGTTGCACTGTTAGGTCAAAATTCACATAATTCAAATAAATTAACAATTACAACAACTACAGGAACAACGTCAACATCTACATTAGTTACTAATGGTTCAAATAGAAGTGTAACATTAGCCGATGCTATTGCTGGCCTTGAATTCTTAGATCAGATGCGTAAAGAACGCAGTACACAACAACAACAACCGAAGAACAATAAATTCATTTCATATATCACTCCTGAGAACCCATATGAATTTGGACCAGATGAATATACAACATCATCTATGGTGGAAACAAATCGTTTAAATTCTAACTCTGAAGTCAATTCTTCGGAGTCAAGTTCAAAATCCAGTCATGATCATCAACATCAGCGAGAACAACAACAACATCAAAGGATACAACCAGTTGAAGAAACAACACGCTTACGAAAAGTCCCTAGAGATAATGATAGTCTTTTTGTAAAAAACAATGAATTTATTCCAACAGAGAATATAACATCAAAGGTATACAAATGTATATATATATCCAGTTTAAAGCTTGCCAGTCAGTTTAGTCAATTTTGCTTGCTTTCTTTCTTCGTATAGCTATTATTATTAGACTTCAGTGGCTTATTATGTTGCACTCAATGTCTGCTTGCATGGTCTTAGTTTGCAACACAGTTTTTGGTATTTAATATGTTGTGTGATTAATGAAAAATCGTAAATAGATCCTTATATATATATATATTTAATAGTGAAGGCGTTGCTGTAACTGGATAGTCAACACCTACTGGAATCAACTCAGTTTAATAGTTCAATAACAGTAGAGATAATAGTTGTATGTTGTAGTTGCTGTTAAAATCTTTTACAATCAAAAGAAAAAAAATATCTTGCGTTTCAGTGGTTTAATTGGTATCTTGATTATCAAAAACTTGATTATTCTCTGACAGTTAGCCGGTTTTTATCAATTTAAAGCCTAGGTTAAATGTAGTTTGACCCCAGTCGTCCTAGTGGATTAACATCACGAATTGAAATTAACAAGATGAATAGCAGATGAATCGCAATAGAGTAGTAGCAATGACAATGAAAAAGGCTGAACGGTGTGAATATGCTTCAGCAAGAATAAGTGAAAATTTATATATGACGAGGAATCAAAACTTGACATTTAGAGTAACATGAATTAATACGTCGGCTAAATTGTGATTGATTCTGAGATACATCACCCAACGTCTCAAATCATTAATCTTAGCTATAAAGTAGTGAATCTTCATGCATTGTGGTGATTAAGAAATGTGTTACGTATGTCTAACAGCTAACTGCACCAGCGAACGATGCTTGGTAGTGCAGAAATAGGCTGGAAGAAAGTTAGGGACTGCGAAACTAAAACGTGGCATCAGTTCAAAATGTCATTGATTGTTGGTTTTAGTCATATTAGTAGACGACGGCTTCCTGTTTGCAGCCCGTTCGATTACTTCGATAAATGGCTGAAGACTAGGTGGAATGACTCAGAACCATTCATAATGGTGTAGCTGCGTTCGCTTTTAACCCTCATCTCGATCTTGAATTTCAGCATCCCTTCATACATACCTTTTCCAACCATAATCCGAAGGTTTACTCTTTGCTTCTATCATTTATACTGTATTACGTCGATTTCTTTCATTATTTTTATCTTGTCGTGCTAGTGTAGTATGGGAACTTGGGCCAACGCACGTCTATCAAAGGCTCTGTGTTGATGATATCTGTCTCTCTGTCTAGTCTGTATCTACTGACAAGATTCAGACTAACAGTTCAATAACTTCATGGATTGATTCTATGTCTTGGTGCCCCGTTTAACTTTCTTCCAGACGATTTGTACAAATAAAAACATCTTTTGTCGAATTAGGCCATTAATTGGGTATGCGTAATAAATGTCTTAGCTACCTCTGCTGATGAAGATTTACAACCTTAATGGTCTATCTGCTACCTTTACTAAGTACATGATGCTCAAAAACCTAACACTGTTCACTCGATCAACTATCCTGTTTAAGTCTGCTTCATAAAACCTTATCTGCATACATTTTATTAATTTGTCTTCTGCTTATATTAATTAGGTTCTATCGTAGATCGATTACGTTTGATAATGATTTTCTCCCAGTACTACTGACTACCCAGTGGATATTCATTTGAATTTAGAAGAGTACTGCAATTACTTAGATTGTAAATTCATGATTTTATCGATTGCAATTGAATTCGTTTAACTTAAGTTTTATTTTATTATATTAGAGTTTTTATGCATTTAATAAAGAAGTGTGAAAATCATATAATTCCATCTTTCAATCGGATATTGCATGCTATTCCATTAAATTAATTCTCTCTGTGTGTTTATAATAATAGTAATAATTTGGTTGTGTTTATGCTCTTTATTTCTGCCTTAACTCCTGTGATATTTATTTAATTAAAAATTATCACATAATGGTTTGATGGAGAACTGTTAGTTGGTACCGTCTTTTTGCTCGATTGCTTTTTACTGAACTGACTGATTGCACAATTGAATAAATACCATTATCTCAACATTTGTTGGATTTCATATAGTATACAGTATTTGTTATTGCTGGTTGATGATAGAGAAAGAGATCAGTTTAGTGCTTTACCATGGTGTTGGTTCATTAATTTATTACATATTGGACTGATCTGTTTTCGTAAGATGCAACCTATCTAGTTGGGGTCCTCGTGATTATCGTCAACAATGTTTGGAGACGTTGATTGATATGGGACAGAATCGGTCATCATGGCTTAGATTCATTTACTCTTTATATGTTTTCTTAGACCCTGAGTTCCGAAATTCTCTTTTACTTTTTGTTTCATGAATTCATTCTTTCCCCGTCCACCATACTGTATGTTTAGTGTTTTCTACTAACAATGGGTACTGTTACTATTTTTAGTACACTGGGATATGTCTTGATGTGCTGATATTATTTGACAGCTTGAACGGTTGACGATGTGAGTAAGAGTCAATAGACAAAGGTAGAATTAAGATAGACTTAAAATGGATGAAAGCTGGTACATTTATGGTACAGTTTCTGTAAACGTCTTGAGGTTGTAATCACTAACTTCTAAAATCCGTGGTTTTTATAGTTTGTTACGTAGTCGGAGTCAGTTAACTGGAAGCAGTGACCTAGGTTTCGTTGTAGCTGGTACTCATCAGCATGGAATACATATAATTTTGATCGAACTGATGAACATTTTGAAATTGTAGCATCCAGCATTGCAATAAGAGATATTTCTATTATACGATTGGGGCAATAATTGATTGGCCGCATGTTCATCTCTAACACTTCGAGTTGATCAAATCCTATATTTGCACATTGTTATAAGAAAATCAGTATAATACTAGTTATTTCGACGAATCATGATGAAACCCTAGCAAGCTTATGAAAGTTTTAAATGTTATAACAACAATTATATTGCAATACTTGTTCTTCCACATTATCTACACTTCAAATAACTGGGTGTTTTTTCCTTCTATCCTGTTATGAAGCTTTTTAATATCATTATTATGAACTTAAGACATTTCGACGATTTCGTGTAGGTTGTTTTTGTTTTTTCGTTGTTATTTTATAGTTTCAGTAACATTTACGTCGAGTTATTTACATTGCTCTCAGTACACTACAGTCATCATTGTTAATGTGTATCATTAGCGTAAACAACCGAATTCAAGACTTTTGTATGATAATTAGCGTAGCCGGTTGTGTTTTTGTATGAAAGAAAGCTCAATTTTACCATCTCCTTGGCTAATAATTATATTCATGTCTAGTTAAATTAATCTACAATCATATAATAAAGTTCATGAAACCATTTATTCCATTTTATAAACATTTTCTACTGACATATCTATGTAACACAAGTAAATAATACAGGAATATAGGATGTATTACGTAATCATAATTGATCAGTGTAAATTGTCACATTCCACATTGGTACAGAAGATAATGAATATTAAAAAATAAAAATATCGAAATGATAAAGATAAATACATTCATGAGTATAAACAATACTATGAAATAAATACATCTGGTTTATTGTTGTGATGTAACCGGAATAATTTGTTCAACATTTGTAACTTTTAATTTTTACCATTTCAATGAATCCACTCCCTTCTATTGTACAGCGCTACATAAGTCATAACAGGCAGTGTTTTCAAGGATTATCGTTGGAATAATAATAATGCACCATTGATGTGTTGTTATTGTTTAAATTTCGTTAAGGAAATTTATTACGATATAAGAATGTTATGGGTTGAAGTCAGATGATAAGAACCTAATGTGATAAAATTAAGCTGTGCTAGTATTTTCAAATTATTATCGTTAGTTTTTTTTAAATATTTGATGTATACCGTCAGCAGAAACGAAGAGTCGAACTTGGAGACTGTTCAACTAATATTTTGATGTAAAGAAATCTCAGCGGAAAGGCATCTTATGCAAATGTTTCTCATTAATACGTACATAAACTGCTATATTCATGTTTTCTGTAATATGGCAATTTGTTGTTTCAACTGTGTTTTAGTATTTAACAACATTGTCTTTACTCTGTTTTGGTAAGCAATCTTTAAATCCGTGAATGTTTTGGAAAAAAAATAGTCGGAAGCTTTAAAACACCTATCATGATTTGATTGCACAAATTAATTTTTTTTGACTATATAAAAATGAACGCTAAAAATGCTGCAGTTATGATAAACGTAATCTATCTTAATGGCTAAACTCCTTGAATTACTTCAGTAAACTTGTGGATCTACCATACGTTTTATTATTTCACATTGTTATCGTATTTGTTCAGTGTTCGTCTTGAAATAACTTAAAAAACCAGTACATCAGAAAAGTATAAACTTAAAATCTATTAGTAATAATACTAACTACCAAACTGTAGTATCCCAATCATCCCTGTAAACTGGTTTGTATTTTAACTCTTGGAATATGTGTATTCTTATTATCTTTAGTGATGAACAAAAGTTTAGAAGTTGAACTTCACTGGTCATGGTTTCCCACTAGAACTCTATGAGTTATCACCTTAAAATGTTACTAGTTAGCACATGATGATTGTTAGTATATGGAATTTGCAGAGGTCGCTAGATTCTATGGTTTACATCACGGAGTGCCATTGGTTGTTTTGTCATTGTTCTTTTAGGTTAACGTTCATAGGGTAAATCAATGTTAGCTAGATCATCTATAAAACCTGAAAGCACTAAACGGTCGTTTTGTCTTACGATAACAGTCTTGAGCAGTAGGTATCTACTATTCCATATCTAGGAATCGAGCTAAGGACCTTCACTTTGGTGAGCAAGCACTTAACCTCTAAACCACTAGACCGACATCCCACGCTCATGCTGTCAATCAGTCCTCGATATTGTTCAACTCTCGTTCAGTACTTGGATAACTGTCTTACACCAAATATAGTTAAGCCATCTGTCATTAGTTAATTTAATTCCCTTTTTATAAAATACCTTTCATCAGAACCTTTCAATTTCCTTATTGTTAGAGTGTATTTCTACTACGTTTTTACCACATCCTAATAATTTTTGAACTGAATTATTTATATTTGTCTGTTGTACGGTAAAGTTTTAACTTTCGTATAAAGATATTTGCGAATGATAAAACAATTCTTCAGAAGGAATTATTTCAACAGTTGAATTGCCTTATTGAATACCAACAATATATCAGCTTTTTTTCTCAATAAAAATTCATAATTTTGCACTGTGCATGCAATCTGTTCTTCTATACTTAGATCTACTTCAAAGAACTATATACATTTTAAAAAGTATAAAACTTATGATAATTTTGGAATGGGTAAAAATATTGGAAGTGTTGTTGAATGCAAATTTCTATAATGCATATCACTTCTCTATAGATTTGAGACTATTTTTTTTTACAAATCTCTATTGAATGAACTGTATGTAATTGTCTATTACAAAGATTAACGCTGAATGTATCTTTGAATATAACCTACAATTACTTTGATATATTTAGCTTTATTGTCATTAAACATGTATGGATTTAATGGTGAGACTATAATTTATGGACAACCTTTGAGCGACGTTAAAATGGCCTTTAAAATGTTAAGGAATTAGATTTAACATTTTCACGAACTGACATCAGCTAAAATGTCAAGACGCTCTTTAACCAAATGGACGAATGGATCTCGCGCCAGAAATACAAGACATGTTATCCTAAATCTGATTGGTTCGTCCATAAATAATAGTTTCGCCAAAAAGCAATCAGAATAATTTTCTTTTTTGATATCTTAATGAGTATAGATCTGAAAAATGTGGCAGAAAACTATTTGATAATAATAATAGTAAATTATCTCAATAGTTTTTGTGGTAAATTGTTAGGTATTTTCAAATTGAATTCATAATTTGTTCTCCTAAAAGATTGGATTAAAATTCTGATTGGTGTATCTAAATCAGTGTCGAAATGTTTACCCTTGAACTTCACGTACAGAAACTGAACATTTACTGTGCTTGAATAATAAATATTAAAGGGGTTTTTATGACAGATGGATTGTAGCTAACAATGTCATTCAGAATGTGTAGTCCATCTTATTTAAGTGGATGTACCCTCATCTCAGTATTGATATTTAAGTTAGGACTGGAGCCTAAAACAAAACTTGAGTGTTTAGTCTGGTCAAATAATGGATTAAAACTGTTGACCTGAGCCATATCGACAGGTAAAGATTTTTTGGTTGAGGTCACAAATATATTCGTAACCAATGTTTGACTACTTTCTGTAATCTGACTTGAAATCAGTTACAGTTGTTTAGTCATATCCATTATCTGCCTTTCTTTCAACTGAAGTTAAGTATAATTTCTAACATTTCATTCTTTGATTTCAGTTTTTTCTTATGTAATCCATTTTACATGTTCAAACTTGTATTAAAATTGAAATGTATCCATCTTGTTTACTGCTTATGTTGTACATTTTATCTCTTATTATGATGCTGAACGAAGTGTTTCAACTTAAACTATTACACATTCCTATCATGTCCTACCGTCGATGATGAATGGTAAGTTTACGGTTATTGGTGACCTTTAGAGTAAGTAAAGTTCCACAAAATCATCCATTGTAATCGTAAAACTTATGATTATTTCTCATAATCATTACCATCAGTTACTACCAACTATATTATTCACTGTGATCACTGAAGAATTCTTATAGAAACGAGAATTATATATATATTACAGAGATGGCCTAGTTGATTATATTTCAAATACCTAGGTTTTCCTTTGATCGAAATTTGACCAACTAAATTTAGAATTTTTAGGAATAATTTCCTCTCTAAAAAGCTTCTCTTATCTAGATCAAGTTCACATGTTTTTGTTTGTTGCGTGATTAATTCTACTTGGTCTTCTTTCACAATTTATCATATTTATTTTTTTGTTCTCCTCTCCTTTTTGCATTTCCTCTGTTCGTTGTTTTTTGTCTTTTGAAAATCTGAACCTATATCTTACCGTTTTTACTAAAAGATTTACATATGGCTAATAGTTGTTGTTGTATTACTGGTTTGTAATTTATGCTCTGATAAACGGTAAATCTCACATTTTTGGTCTTCTGATACATACTCTTTTCTTCTTTATGGGAACAAAGCTAGTCATGATATATTACCTAGACTTTATTGATAACTATGTAGTCATAGAGTTCCATTCATGTAAGTAATATCCGTATAGAATAAATTCTGAAGTATTAGTCTTAGATAACTAAATATGAGAAAGTATTAAAAGTATCTGAATTACTCACTTGTAAATAATCTGTACTGTACTACTATCAGTTAGGATATGAGCTATTCCGTTGTTGATATCCAGCACTAAATGTTCGTCAGTATTTGTTGGCATGTGTATAGTCTATTTTCGTTGTCTCGTTATAGCTATTTCTTATATATGTCAACAAAAACTCATAAAAGGTCAGTTGTGATTATCAATAATGGAATAACCCGAACCCTTGTTCATAATTACATAGACGTCATGTTTGTTGAATATGTTACTGGCTGTTTGAACTCACTAGGTCAGCAGATAACTCGTTGGCGTTTAGAGCTGAAGGTATTCATTTCGAGTTCGATTGTCGGCATTAGCACTGCAAGTCATTTATATCAAGTTGACATTTCCCTAATAGAACAAAATATGCCTCCTGGATTCTACTGCTAGACATAATCAATCTATTCTAGGTCAATGCTTTTTTGTTCTTGTTGATGATAAATTCCTATCGATCTATTCGTATACCTTTATCTATAAGTAATTTATGGTTTAGGATTGTTGTCATTTATTTCCTTATCTATTATATGTAAATCAAATGTAGTTGCATGTTACTATGTCTTAAAATCAGATCACATAAATTAATTGATCAGATTTGACTAAAACTGAAATAAGAATTAGCGAGTGAAACTAAACATCGTCTAATGACTAAATATTCTTATGCCTAGTTTGATTTTCTAACGGTTGTGTCGGAAATCGATGTATATTTTAGACTACATTACGAAATAAAAACGGGGAATTATTAGTTCAGCGAAGGAAATTTGATGCTCAAATATATACAATCGCAATTGTGAAGTATTTACGCAATAATCGATAATATGTTTGTTAATAACATTTTACTGAACATAATACAAAAAAATTAGAAACCAAATGTTATTTTATACTATTTGAAATGATTTGGATAATGCGATTGCGTTTGATGCAAATGGTGCTAGGTTTGATTCCCGAAGTCGAACATCAACTCTAGAATTCCGGCCCACTCAGTTGACGAGTCCAAAATAGGATGAAACGCGCGATATGTATCCCACTGTTAGTCACATCCTATTTATTTTATATTAAAATATTATTATTAAGAATCTGAAATCATGGTTGTGAAACACTTGAGTATTCATCATAGAACTTAGTAAATGCATAAAAAGTATTTTCTATAAAAGATTAGATGAAATATTATTATTACAATTCAAAAGGTATGTAGTAATAGATTACTGTGTTTATATGTTAAAGGTCAATAGAGAAGAAAATGGAGAGAGTGACTTTGGTAAACTAGAGTTTTATTACAGTAGTAGACTAAGTTTTTCGTAGATACATTCATAGGTTTTCTAAAAGGTTTAGTAGTGCTTAAAATACAACTCTTCTCTGTACCAATCTTTCTCGTGGACATGTTTCATTTATACACCATGAAATATATAATTCTGAATATTGAAATAATCTCTCTAGATCTCTGTGAATTTCAACTATTCATTTGTTGATAGTTCTTTTTTGATCTCTTTCATACGATTGTAAAATTTATCACTCATTACTGGACAAAATTAAAATTTTACAAAATGTAATAAAGAAATTTTTAAATGTTTGCGTATTCTATTAAATTAATTAACTATTTACGAGTTTAATGTCTTTTTATTTGTTTATTTCAGTCTTAAAATCACCAGTAAATAGAAACCATTAATTCAGCTTATTTCTTCTCTCTTTTGTTTCATTTTATTCTAAATTAGGTTAGCAATGGTGGCTTAATTACATCCGATGATTTATTACAAAATAATGTAATCAATCAGCCGTTTCGACCTGCATCACAATTAAATTATCACTTACCTGTTGCTGCTCCTACTGGCGCTGGCGCTCCTCCACCACCACCATCTATTAATCCAAATACAGTTAACAACGTACCACCCCCTTCAACAATACCAGCACAAGAATTAATGAATAATACTAACATGTACTTGAGAAATAATTATCGTACTAATCTACCAATTTGTACCACCGGTATTGGCTATCCACCTGGGTAGGTGATTAACATTTTAATGTTTTTGGGTCTTTTTTAATTCTTCAGTATTTTGTTGTAAATTTTTTTAAGAAACATGCCGTTCTACTGTTTCACTAAAATCAGTATTGTCTATTTTTAGTAACAGTTTCTTTTATTAACTTGTTTAGTAAACTAGCGTGTGTTATTCTCCCATGTTTCTGTAATCAAAGTCAGTATTTACGCCGTGCGTTAAAGATCTTGTGGTTTAGTGATTAAAACACTCCACTTCCAACCACTGAGTTTTAGGTTCAAACATATATCCACTTTAGTTTGAGCGTTCTGGGTTTTTTTATTAGCCTTTCACAAAATCTATGGTCCAAAGCCATCTATATCTATCTGTGTAGAAAGTTTTCTTGTTACCTTTTCCAATTTGTGGCGTAGGGGAAATGTCCGCCTGCTTATTAAGGGACGATTATACTACACAGTGGTTTCTATTATACCTCATAAGTGGAAAACGTGGCATACAATGATAGGGTACATTCTTAACTTAACAGTTTTTGACCATAGATGCCTTTAAAGGATTGTTGAGATCGTTGGGCATTGATGAGGTTAGAGAAAGAATAATAGATAAGTATAGCAAGTCGGGCGGTGAGGTCGTAAATCCTCATCGCCTGAGTTGTTTGGGATGTGTGTGACGAGAATTTAACTACCGCCTACCCCGACTCGTAATGTTTTTCTGGTTTAGACGTTAGTAGTAAGAAATCTAAGGAAGGCCAAACCAAGACATGGAGTTAGTCCATCAGGTCATTAGCTGTTGGTCTGAATCATGTAGGCAGGTCCAAACTAACTGATTGGGATCGACATGCTTACCGTAACTAAACGATTAGAGGCATTGTGTGGCATGTCTTATGATCGGTCGTTATGGCACAAGTGCACCTATCATTTATTTTCTTTCAAATCTTGAGCTTTAAATTTATATTCTACTTTTTATCCCGTAAATTCGTTATTTTTTCTCGAATTATATTTTCTATGCTCTGTGTTTTCTACTACCACTGATACTGTTACTGTTTCAACTATTCTGGTCTTTGTTTTAATAATTTCATTTCGCTGTGCTAATATGGTATAACAACTTTAGCCATTGTAATTGTATGCTAAGTTCTACTTTGCTTATAGCTGGTTGACTAAGATCTATCTATCCTTGGTTATTGAATTTCGAGAGATAGTTTTAATCCACATGAAATCACTTTCCATGGATTAATTATAAACGATCATAAAAAATAAAGTTTATGGGCGAGACTCTAATTTATGGACGACCTATGAACGAATCCTAAGCGACGTTGATAAATATTAGCTAATCAGCAAACAGTCAGCATAGAGTAAAAATATGTTATACAAAACCAAGGAAATAAAGTGGATACACTTCTTATACGTGGTTCAAAAACTCGTCAAGGTTAGAAAGAGGTTCAGCGGTTCTAAAATCGTAATGCATGCAGTAGGGGAAATCATCCATACGGCTACAGAGTAGTCGGCATCTGGAGCCATGATAAAGTCTCAAAAACTCTTTCAGCCTCGACCACATAGCTTCAATATTGTTTATGTGCACTTCAGTTGTTGAGTGCACAAAATGCTACTCGTGGATAACGATACGATGCACGTAACCAAGCCTATGTAGGAGTCTGTACGCTCTCCAAACATCCGTATACATTGTAGTACCTGGCTGCAGCCAGTGTTACTGGTGCATTTATTATCCAGTTCGCGATAATTGTCGTAATTTGCCTTAGTTAGGAATTATATATGGGGTTTTTTTATCACGAACTGACATCAGCTATAACGCCAGAAATTCATTTAGGCAAATGGATGAAAGGCTTTCGCGTTAAAATCCGAGATCTATTATCTTATACCTGATTGATTCGTCCACACATTATAGTCCCGCCGTTTTGTTTGTTATATCCGCTCAATTATCACGTTTTGTACAAAATTCGTTGTGAACCGATCGTACGTTAGCATTAAGCACTGAAGTTGGCGCCGCATTTTTAAAATCTCTAAAACGTCTCTGATTAACTCGTCCATAAATTAAAGTATCGTCAGTTTATGATTAAATTACAATGAAAACTTCATTTGAATTAACAGTTTACAAATTACTGATCCAGATTTCCATTTTTAAAATAAGTTATAATTTGTTTCAAGTAATATCTACGTATATTTTTTGGTGATCTTAAATCATCTTGTATAATTTATTATTAATTATTTATTTTATTTTAAATGATTAAATTTTTTTGTAACAAATTGTTGATAGTTTTTTATAAAAGTAATTTATTGCTTACTTTTTTTTAAAAAAAATACAACGGCAATTAGTTCTGATAGTCTGTTGAACGGAAAATGTGACAGTTCGTTGTCAAAATCAACTACACAAGTATCAGTAGCAGCAGTGGCTAAATCATTGGTTCTACCTGGATCTAAACAACAATTACCTAACTATCAAGAATCTAATTTACCTACTAATAATACAACATTAATACGTAAATTATCAGCTCCTATAGGACCACCTCATATTCTATCAAATCATACTGCTACAATACATCTACGTAGAGGATATAGTTTAAATAAACCTAAAATGGATAATAATGTTAATGATGATGATAAACGTGTCAATCAAAAAGTAAATGAAGGTGGTAATGTTGAAGGTTGTGTCGTCATTAAAGAGACTGTTAGCGACGAAGATTTAAATCATTCAAATTTTCGACATTCTATAAATACACTCACTGATCATGTACCATCATCAAGGTAGATATAAATATCGATCGATAGATAATGAATGAGATCGCATTGTGTTGATTATTTTGCATGTAGCATATAAATTTATGTATTGTTTATGGATGTTTTTAAGAATCCTAATTCTCTGTGGGGTTATAGTCGTTTGAAGTTACAATTTCAGTTGGTTTTTTCTTGTATTCTCAAATATGCGTCATCTTTTAGTTTCCTAAGCTATTAAGTTTATGTTTGCAAGATGAATGAGCTACAACTAATGGTGAACATCTTCACGAATAAATACTTTGGATATTGTAGTAAAGAGTAAAGCAGCAATTCCAGTCATTGTTTTGGTTTTCCAGGGTTTGCGAGAAATGATCCTAATACTCTTACTTTTATCATTGGTTGTGCATACCTTAGTTGGTTGAAACTGTCAAGCTTGTTTTAACTACGCATTACTTTCATTCATTTGTGTGTATATGCGCATGTTGAGTAATTCCGTATGAAGTGTTTAATTGCTCATCTTTTCAATTTAATCAGTTGGATTATTCTGTTGTTGATATTTTGACTGGAAAGTTGATCAGTCTTGGTTGGTATATGTGTACCTTGTGCTATGCGGACTGCTTTTATATAGCTACTACGACACAAGTTAGAATAGAATAGATGGAATGTGGCCGTCAGTGGGATTCAGTATGCGCGTTTCGTACTTTTAAAGTCGATATTCACCGAGGTTCAGGTTCATCTGACTGACGAGTCCCAAATAGGACGAAACGCGCATATTAGATTTCACTATTAACCGCATTACATTTATTCTATATGGACTTGTTCGCTGTATTGTTTTATTTATTCTTCATGTGTACAAATTGAAGATATGACAGTTGCATAATCTGATAAGCTAAGCTTTCTCATTTGAAATCAGCATGCAATATACAAATATAAGTAATTTTATTATTAAGAAAAAACACCACCACATATAATGGTGTTTTTCTTTCTTTTACTTAGTTCTTTATCAGTTATATCAGTAGATAGTCCCGAAGAAGAAGGCTCTTCAGCAGCTTCTGATTCATTAGTTTGCAATCAAACGATTGAAGGTCAACCGTCAGGTCAACAGCAACAACAACAAACAATACCACTTACATCAGCACAAAATATCCCGTTAATGAATAAACAATTTTATCAGCAACAATTGCAGTACAGACAACAATCCATTTCCGATCAACCTATGACAACGTTAACTCAACAACCACTTTACCAGCGAGATTATGAACAACAACAACAGATCCAACAATTACAATTTACTCATTCAACAAGACCTCATCTACCAATGAATTCTATGCCAATATATCATCAACAGCCTATAGGATTGTATCAAAATTATCTACGGTCAATTGGACCTAGAAATCAATTATACAACATTATTGATAGTCAACAACAACAACAACAACAGATCAATTCAGTGTCTCGATTAGATTCAACACAATCATTTTTTTCGCCTACACCATCACCTACACCAAGTAAGAAGAAATCGCGTATGTTATCTGGTACATTTGGTCGACTATTTCGACGTAATCAATCAAGTAATATAACTGGGAATAGCGGTGTTGGTATTGTCAGCGGACCATATGATATGGCACAATATTCACAAAATTATTACCCTATACCAAATCATATTAATCAATCAATGCGAATATCAGCTTCACCACCGATACGTCTTGGTTCACCAATGATACATGCATCAATTGCTAATAATACTCATAACAATAATAGTACTACTAACAATAATAATAGTAGTAACAATAATATTCGATATTCTATGCAACAGCAACCTATGAGTCCACAGCCGATAGCTGTCGGTCCAGGTGGACATCAATCACTATCATTACCACTACCACCACCTCCGCCTTCAGTACAGTATCATCCGTCGATATCCAACCAAGCACAGATGATACAACAACAGCACCAACTCCTTATAGAACAACAACAACAGCAACAACAGATGTATCAGTTTAGGCAACGACAACAAGGTTTGGAATATGGTATGAATATTTTCGGTTTGTATTCTTCTTCTTACTATTTATACCAATGATGGTAGGATGTTATTGTACTATGAAAAATATAAATATTGTGTTGAGATAATGAACTGATATCGAATCTAGTCGGTTAGTAGTAAATAAATAAACACATGCAGGTAGGTAAGTAGGTAGGTATATTTTGCATAGAAATATATCTACATTTGTGCAAATATTTCATGTATTGCACATGACTTGCCTTTGTTTCCAACTAGTTCCATATAATGATTTACATTCTGAAAACAAAATAATGATATTAAACAGTGAGTATCACAATTAAGTCATCATGGTGTTCATAATTTCATTTGGGATTTAAAACACATGATAATGATCATAGAACATGGTAATGTAATGGTTTCACTATCCTTTCTCAGTAATTAGTCACCCTTCCATGGTATGGGCAACAGGGAAGTGATAACCACCCTCATACCTCTAACAGCACTCCAGACCCAGTAATTAATGCAAACAAATCGTCTACCATTGAACGCATATTTCCACATTCGATGGATAAAAGTTAACTATCTAAAAAATTGTTGACACAAAGTCGTTTGAACGTCAGGTTTATCACTTAGCTGAATCTTGTTTTCTTAATGGCAGTCTCAGTAATGTCAACTATTATATGCCTTGTTCTCGAATTATCATTTTTAGGCTGTAAATTAAATTTGGAACGAACATCTAAGGAATACTAATTTTACTGTGTTACTGAGTTTATTCGCATTAGTTCTTTTATGTATACTAGTAGTGAATTTCTAAGTGTCCAGTGTTTAATTATCAACATAATTTTCTAGACATTAGATAAATATCAATAAAACTAACCTATTCGTGGATAATTTGATGCTTCGTTAGAATTTAAATCTGTATGCAATCGTACTCATACCATTTTAGGTACCCTAAAATCTTGTGTAAAAGTTGTAAATATACCAACGTTTTTTTAAATTGTAATTCCCACTTCAATCCAACCTTGTTATTCGGAAGATAATTACGTTCCTGTCCAACCGTGTTCTGGTTTGCGAACTTGTCGAGTGAAGTAGTGTCCAAGATTATTAAACAGTAAGAGTAGCTTTGACGTAATAAGGGAAATCATAGTACCTCCACATATAATAGTTTCCTGTTAAAAGTTACTGTTACTTGGTAAATACAAATAAATCTTGGATTCAGTCTGCATCGATCACATATAAGTTAACGTAATAATCAACGTGGAGCAATACTGATGTGTATCATCACGAGTATTTGATAGCTTACACTTCTTAAAATAATTCCATAGTGAAATAAACTTCTAAGTCCTTACTAGTTTGTAGTGACTCTAATTCTTTTCGATTGATATGGATTTTCCAAACAAATGACGTCTCCAAAACAGCAAGTTGGTTTTACTTTCTGGAAAGATATTTCAAAGATAGAAGAGGCGCTTAAAAAAGTTGACAAATGCTCATTTTGGACATCAAATGACGTTTGTACGTATTTTAAAATTGATATAATTTATGAAACTGCATGTTGAATTCCAAATCTCTAATGTGTTAATACTCTGAATACAGAAACATGATAATAACAAGTTCTGTTTTAACAAAATTTATAGATGGGTGTTTCTAAAATATTGCAAACTCTTCTTATAGAATTCGTCAAATGTTTCTTACTATACAATGTTACTTGTTATTTTTTGAGATTGAACATTGTGTAGATTATTCAATATCTCATATGGTTTGTACACATTCATATAAATGAATATATTTGGATATTATTCTTTACATAAGGAGCTTTCAATAATTTAGAAAATAATCCATGTCATTGTTACATGTCATCTGAATAACTTCTAAATAAACTAGGACGAATTAAATGCAGTCAAAAGTTGTTAATTTGATTCTTTGGAAGTTAATAGAGGTTAAAGTAATAAGAAATCTTTCACGTTCGAGTATTTAGGAAATAATTGCGATAAGCTATCGGCCATTTTCGAATCAAATCCTTTATTGAATTCATGAACTTACCATGAAGCTAGATGACCCTACAGGTAACATCAGTCCCTTCAAAATTGTGGGTATACCTTGTCGATAATAGCAAACTGAAATGGAACCTAAATGCAGTGTTTTCTCCTGATTAACTGCGACTACCTAACACTTACTTCCTATCTTGTATTAAGTAATTGAAAACAACACGCTTAAATATTAAAGACCTGAGTTTTATGAAAAGTCTGCTAATTCAACGCTTGATCCGATTTTCTAGCCGCTTTTAATAATCTTAGACTAAATCCTACAAGACAACTTGAACACAAGAGAAAAGACGCGAGACGCATAAGTCATAAACTGATGATTCAGATTTATCAAACTCCAAAAATATATCGAAATGATTCATGAATACATCACTTTATTTAAAGTTGGATTAATAGTCAGATTTGGTATATATTCAGTTCATTTATATTTAACAAAAATAATTCAACAATTTACAGTGTGCACACATTTTTACCATACTCATATAATTATACATCTATAACTAACAGATATAACTAATTAACTAAGTTATAAAATTACTCTTTAAGACGTGAATACATGTTACACACGACTGGCAAAAATCAATTTCATATGTCATTCGCATTCCTATCGATTATGCCATTGGTCGTCATATCACTTTTTGACACACCCCTACAAAATGTATGTGAAATCATCTTTAACTGAGGTGACAATCATGAATACTGTTTCTAATATAAAAGGATAGATAAATCATTTTCTTAAGCTTGTATCGATTCGAGTGCATTGTTTATCGATTGTTATCTTGTGGTTTAAGTCTTCTAGAATAAATTTAACATATTAACCATCCTAATATTTAATAAATACCTTTTATTATGTATTCTCGTATTTCGCATTTTGCTTAAACACTAGATGATGGATGTAATGGACCAAATCTTATTACTGGAGGATCGATATCACCACTTTCGTCATCCACTGTGTCAGGAAGTCTTTCTGAATCAACTATTCCATCAAATAGTAGAATAATGAGTCCAAATCCTATGTCTTTGACTATGGGTAGTAGTGGTGGTCAACTGGCTAATACAACACTACCACCACAAGTCCCTGAAGAACGTCGACGGTGGAAAAAGGAGGAGTTATTAGAACAAGCTATGATGGCTAGATTACCATTTGCACAATGGAATGGCCCTACAGTAGTAGCATGGCTTGAGGTATAGTCAATGTCTGTTAGATATTCTCTTTTTTTGTTTTGTTTTTTTAAAAAACGAAATCATATTTTATACGTTTTTCAGTTAGCTGGCTAAAATTTCTGTAATTGTTCACAGTAACCTTTGAATTAAAGTTAATATATTCTCATGTATTTTTTTTTAAAAAAAAAGGAAATAACTCAACAATTCATATAGACTAGTTTACTATTCGATTTAGTAAATACTTTCTTAGGATTAAATTGAACTTTACTAATGAGTTATAGAATCAAAATGTACTAATTCCGCCTATAACATAAACACATCATCCATATTAGTTCAAACATATTTTCAATTGAATCATTATCATTGCTTCTTTATAATCACTTTTTTAATCGAATTAACTGTACTGCTATCAACTGAACTGTTTCATATTATTTGACATAATAGAAATTTGATGAGTTTGAGTTACTCACAGCAACACTGAAGTACACAGATGAGAATATATGTTGAGACAAAATTAATACTTATAAGCAGAGATGAATGGTGGCTAACAGTGGAATTAAGGACATACGTTTTGTCTTATCTGGGACTCGTCAGCTAGATTTATCTGTATTCCGGAGTTGATGTTCATTCGGAGACTCTAGCTCAATATTATTGGCTTCGAATGCCATCACTTCATCCACTTAGCTAATGATTCCAAATATCCATTACCTTGTGTAATGGGGTAAAGTTTAAGCTCTTTTTGTATTAGTTGTCTGAATGCCAATAAGAGACTGATCATTCGAAATCATAAACTTCATTAGGGAGCATCAAAAAACCAATACAAAAATGAATAATTAATACTACTTCATAAATCATACTATAATGAACTGGATAGGTTTTATGTAGGTATCATTCTTGATGGGTACATAATTTATTATTCTTTTTTTGCATTATTTACTTCACTTGAGTAGTACATCTAATTTGAAAAGCATTTTCTTGTCAGTGGTATAATAATTATATTATTTATAAACCAAACTATTTGTTTAGAAATGAAGAATATTTGAGCGAACAATTGTTTTCAATAACTTCATCATCAGGCTCTACAGTTATAAGTCCATAATTATAATATTTTACAAAGGCCAAAAATAAGGCATGTTTTAATGAGTTTGACAATGTTATGTGCTAAAAATGGTAAACGTTTGCATCTGTTACGATATATATATACTTCAAAAATTGTAATATTTGCAAATTAGAAAGGTCATTCAATAAAGGTCAGTAAACTGTTTAGTCACAATAAGATAATGTAATAGTACTATTGCAAAATTGAAAATAATTTTGTCAACTGAGATAATAATAATAATATTGTTGTGTAAATATAATATGTAATAAGGGGGGTGTTATCAAGGTAATTACGGTCAACAAATTGGGAATGATGGATATGAAGATTAAGATATAGATAATGACAAATAATGATAATTAGGAAAATAAATAAAAATGAAGATGAAGAAAGGAAGGGGTAAGAGGTTTATAATATTCAGTCTAGGTATTTGGTGATCTAGTCGTAGGCCAGGGTAAACACAGAGGCTGGATATATTTCTTCTGGATGCATAAATTAGGTCTTCTGGAGTTGATCCAGATGGCTTCGGCTGTGTAAAGCAGTCGTAATCTAGCTCCTTGAGGTAGATATTTTGGAACTTGATATAAAACAGAGAAAGCTTCCTCTATTTTAATATGATGTTCACTATCTACCAAGTGAGAAAGAATGGTACTGTTAATCGATTTGGTGACTCCTTTTCCCAACCATGCTGGTACATGTTCACGAACACGCAAGGATAAAGCCCTCTGAGTACGGCCTATGTAACTAGCTCCACAGGAGCAGTTGAATTGGTATACACACATGGAGGAGCCCATTTTTGAATATTCTATGGGGATTTTTAAACTATTTGTTTAGACTTTAAATGTTCCATATACATGTACTACATTATTTATTGGCTATATTTTGTATGTGTGTGTGGAAAAAAATACAGTTCAACTCAACAGCGATAACAGCATTATTTCGGAAAACTCTGTGTATAGTCAGCAGGACAGATTCTTGTTTTCTCTCTCAAAATCATCTAAGGATCCTTAAAAATTATGATAAAATTGAAAAGTAGAATTATATTCATGATATTTTTGATGAATATAAATGTTGATAAGCATCACTGCTAGAGTTTCACTTTCATTCCTTAAAAATGCAAGTCATTTTTCTCCAATTACATGGATTTGTCATTTGGATTACATCAGGTTTACACAACATATCAATCTACATCCATTTTGGTTTGAGTTCGAATGTGGACATCAATACTGCGATACAGTTCCAAACAGAAGGAAACCCGCTTCTTGGATCTCACTGATATGCACACTTCATCCATTCCTTAGAGAATATTGTTTAAAATAAAAAGAAACTAAATTGTGTGAAATGACTGTAACAGAATAATCTATTATTCTTCATGAAAGCTTAAATAAAAAATATGGCTTATCAACATCATCTCAATCGATTTTGACTAGTGTCATCAAACATCTGCAACAGTAGATTTCGATCATTCCAAAGACCATATTGTGGATCAAAACATCAGTTTCACTGTCATCAATATATAATTATAATTTCACAGATTGAAATCATGAGTCAGTTGAAGCTAGACCACCATTGAAAACCTGGTCTAGCTTCAACTGACTCATGATTTCAATCTGTGAAATTTCTAAAATCTCCACAAAACCCATTCTGATATAATTATAACTTGAACCAAGTTTAACTAAAACATTTATATCCTTAAAACAGTAAATATACTCTCTAAGGTTATTTCCTTTTTTCCTTTTAGCTTTGGGTTAGCATGCCCGCTTGGTATGTAGCTGCTTGTAGAGCGAATGTTAAATCCGGTGCAATAATGGCATCATTATCTGAACAAGAAATACAACGTGAAATTGGTATTAGCAATCCATTGCATCGACTTAAACTACGTTTAGCTATACAAGAAATGGTTGCTTTAACTTCACCAACTCCAGTTCCTAAGCCTAGTACAAGGTAAATTATATATATATCAGTATTATGGACTTGCAATTCTTGTTTCTCTGACATCGGGAAATTTCCTAAATTTACTTTATTCTACAAAGTGTAGAGATAAATAATAACTATCGTCAAACTGTAAACTTTATTTGTTAATTCACTTTTCTACTAACCTGTCTTAACTTTTAGTTAATTTATAGGTTCAACCATTATCCAAAGTAACAGATTTACCCACCATTGATATTGAAAGATAGCTGTGAAATATTGCGAAATCACTGAAGTTATAAATGAAAACTATTGGATACCGATTCAGTGTTCTAAAAGTTAATTACTCACTATAGGGTCTAAAACTTTTGGACCTAATTCTTGATGGGATCATGGCTGTGTGATGCTACTGATTCGAAACAGATATCTCATACTTCCCAGTGTGCAATACTTATCTAAATAAGATTAGTTCATTATTCAAACTGTAAATAACAAGCATTATAAGCAGAGATGAGTGATGTCTAACAGTAAAATTAAGGACGTACGTTTCGTCCTATTTGAGACTCGTCAGCTGGATTTACCTGTATCCCAGAGTTGATGTTCATTCGGAGACTCGAACCCAATACCATTGGCTTCAAATCCCATCACCTCATCCACTTAGCTACTGATTCCAAGTATCTATTACTTTGCGTAACGAGGTGAAGTTCGATTTATTTGTATTGATTGTTTGGATCTTTCCAAGTATGTTTAGGACTGTAATTGATAAATCTCTTTTGTTATATGTGAATCCTCCGGGGATTACTTCCATATTGCCATCAAGTCACAAGCGTTTCAAGTAGAGATGGCTGGTGCACTTATGGTAAATGAGACTGATCATTTTCAGTCCTAAATGCCATTTAGAAGATTCCAACAATCAATATAAATGAATGTAAGCAATTAAATACCAAGAAAAATCTCTTGAAGAATCAATAACGTATTTTATTACGGTACATGCATATAAGCATAACTGTGGAGTCTGTCCACAGAATGTTGAGTAACGCTTTAGTAAATATAAACATGAAATATACTAGTATTAATAACTAAATTATTTAGAATCCTATATATATATATATATATATATATATATATATATATATATATATATATATATATATATATATATATATATATATATATATATATATATAATACAGACGAATGTTTAATCATGTTAATTTATAAACTGACTTTTACCTGCTTTTTTCTGTAAATTTTGTATAGTCGTCTTGCTTTTGGTGACATGAATCATGAATGGGTTGGCAATGTATGGCTTCCTAGTCTCGGTTTAGCCCAATATCGTCCAGCGTTTATGGAATGTTTAGTTGATTCACGGATGCTTGATCATTTAACTAAACGGGATTTAAGAACACATTTAAAAATGGTTGATAATTTACATAGGACTAGTTTATTATATGGTATTGTTTGTTTAAAACGATTAAATTATGATCGATTGGAATTAGAACGTAGACAACGTGAAGCTGCTCATCCTGATAGTATTGGTATGTTTACAGAATATTTTAGTGTTGATGTAACTGGCTTTTTCTATTTAAAATTAATTTTTAAACTGTTTACTTTGTTAACTTATATCAGTTAAAAACTACTGGAAACCATGAATTTGCTACTGTGAAATTGTCTGTTTTTGACTTCATATCTTCAAATTATTACACGCCAACAACCTATATAAGGTCGAATGCGAATTTCTTAGGATACACAAAGAACACAAAACCACTTATCATCCACCTTCAGTACTCTATACAACACTATTTTATCATCCAGTTGAAACCCACTAATTTACATTTCTAAACTTCACAATACAATGGCGTATTTACGTTTATTCCTTGTCTCACCTTATCTCTTAAGCCCATTTTCTCCTCATATATGCCTTTTTGTTCAATCCTTTCGAAGCGTATTCATCTTAAATTAGCCAGATTTAACTGTTAATCCATTAATTGGTTTTCCAAGTGAATTTTAACCTAAGAAATTATTAATTTGTTCAATTTCGGAGTGATGTGAATTATTCAACTGAATGAAACAATAAGATCACTGATTAGTCATTTGGAAATACATCTCACTCCTACAGGAGTTTAGCCTCGACTAAAGTAGTTCACTTTTCACATTTTTGACTATGAAGCTAAGTGAATGCAGATTTAAATCCCATTGAATGTTTCAGTTCTCTAAAGATTACAAGTGTGGTGTGCTACTGATGTTGGCAGATATAAGTAGTATGTATTTTAAATCAAAAGTAGGATGCCTGGAGACAGAAGGTTAAGATCGAAGAAAAAAGAACGCGAACAGCGAATGGTTGGTGTGGAAACGAAAGGACAATGTATTCTGAAACGATTGATTCACATCTTGCAAATAAAGCATTTACTGTATGGTTCTCAGATTTGACTAAGGTATTCTGTAATTTTGTGTTCAAATACATTTGGTTATCCCCACTTGTGTTCGCGTTCACAACGCGAATGCGCCTTGAGGGACCATTACCATTTTACAATAAAACCTAGTTTGGGAGTTTTCCACCGACTGGATCCATTCATCTAACTTGAAGACATACTATAGGGAATGTTGAGTCACTTGAACTAGTGAACCACGATGCTATCTGATCGATTGGATTTGATAAGCGTTTAATGAACCAGATGAAAATAATCTTGGTCACTATTTACTGATTAATCGAATGTAAGTGTTAGTACTTTATATTTGATGTTACACATTATCACGTAGTAAGACGGGTTAGAAAAAAGGAGGCAAATTCAATGTGGAGAATAAAACTATTAGAATGGATCTTTAAAAAAATACGGAAAAAACAAACGGACAAAATTAACGTAAGATGATTGTGCCTAAACATTTCGAATAATAAGGTGTAAATTAGAATTAATACATACATACAATTGAAATCCCAGATTTATTTCGTTCTTCACATAAAACAATTCAGTCAGTCAACTCATTTCACCTGCTACGTCATTAAACAAAACAATTACAGTTTGGTTAAAAAAAATTTCTTTACAACAATGTCATTCATTAAAGCTGCATGTTTGTATTTTTTATACCTAATTTTATACATGGTGGTAGTCTGTGATATGTTAAATTGTTTAAAAAAAAGGTATCAGAAATTAGTTGAAATAAAAACTTAATGATGTTCGCAAAACATCTATACCATTATTAATGATAATCTCGTACTCACTAGTGACTGACGTCAAAATATAATTTGAAGAGTCTTAATGATAAACCGTGACAAGTGGAGCTTAGCCATATCGAGTGTAAGGTATTACAAGGTGATCGGGCAACATCACGAACTTATCGGAGTTAGACATACACATTGTCGAATACTGACTCAATGGTTTAGGGATTAGGTGTTCACTTTCGAGCATTCAGATCCTGGGTTTGATCACCTGCGATTGGGTTTGCATGCTCACTGCTGAGGGGCCCCCATATTAGGACGGAATAGGTGCCCAGTACTTCTTGGTTTTCAATGCTGGTTTAACAGATATCAGTTCGTGATGTAAACTATGCAAATTTATCAATGTCTACTATATCCCCCATACCGAAATGCGAATCTATTAAAAAAAAACAACTTAAAAAGTAAAAAAAATAAAGGGTATATGTCAGAACTTTGTTAATATAAGGGGTCAGACACACCGCTTCACAAAACAAAAACCCGGCTTGAATTAAGAAGTTACCAAAGCTTCTACTGCCCGTAAGTTTCTTACCCAATGATCCTTAGAAATAGTTATTCTAACTTTGTTAATAGTTTCGAATGAAGATTCTAATGGATATAGATGATCTAAATTCGACCAGATGTTCAACAATTAAACTGATTTGGATTCACTTTTATTTGGGTGACTATACTGAGTACCCACCTCTTATTACTATTAAAACATAATTCAAACTTCTTGTTAATCAATTCTTAGTCTTATGTCAGTCCGTCACTCAGCTACAATGTATGATCAGGCACATATACGCATCGGTCCAAGTTGCTACACCTCATTAGCACAACAAGATGAACAATAAATTCATAGAAATAGTTACTTCCTATGTTAAAACTGATGAGAATAAATGATGATAACTAGTAAGTAATACGTTACACATTGAGAATAAAATAATATCTAATGACCTGACGAAATAATCAACTATTTTATACAGTGAAAATAAACACATGTTACTTTTGTTTGCGCAAGTGATAGATTTTCTTATTTTGTGATTGATAGATGGATAAATGATAATATAAAGTAGTGTGAAAGTAAAATAAATTGTTTATACATTGTACAAATCAAAAATGTTCAATTACTGATTAGAGAATGACATTTTAAATAAATAAGGGTTTATCTATTCATACACTTATATGATTAACATAGATCATAAATATTGAATTCAGTTCGTTTGATGCTGTCCTAACTATGGATATATTTTCTAGAACAATTTATCACTATTTCTGGTTTTATTTTGTTTTATATCTAAGTCGATCAGTCAGTCTATTTGTTACTTAGTGATATAATTTCGATTCGAAGCAAAAGCTACTTGGTTCAGGTCTCAACGTGAACATCAACACACTAGGATGAAGATAAATTCAGTTGACAAATCCCAAGCAAGATGAAATGTACACCATAGATTTCACTGCTAGTTACAATCCAACTGTTCTATAAAATTTAGATCAATGACTTGTTGACGATTATTCGAATTTTAAGTTAGCTTTAATCACATATCGGAAAATTTTTGGTAGGTGATGTTATACTATAGATTACATACACTCCTTACTAAGTAAACACAATAGTCTAACTGGTATGTTGTTTTCGTTACAATATCTGAAAACTATGGATTTGTTCCCATATAAACAGGGGGTTATTCGTAACAAATTTCACGCTAAAGTATAACAGTTATTTCATACACAATAAATTCTTCAGTTGTTTCAGCCGTCAATAAATTCTTTTCGTTTAGGAGACTCTTATTTCATGGATATATTACATGTCACCTTCCAAAAATGATTAGGAAACCCAGTCAACTAAAAAGTGGAACCAGGCACATATATGCATCGGGTCGAAGTTGCCACACCTCATTAGCATATCAAGACGGACACCAAATCCATAGAAGTAGTCACTTCAATAGTAGTAATATATAAAATAAAGATTGCATATAAGGATATAATACAGGAAGAAAGAATTAATTCGTAGAAAGAAAGGTACAAAGCAATTTTAATCTCAGGATTTAAGGGAAGACAAAGAGTGTACACGCCTACGCCATTGTGATCGATTCTGAGCTATGCCACCCAGAGTCTCCAACCATTAGTTACGATAGTCGCACGGCCCCCAACCAAGTAGTCTGCATCTCCTAACATGCCTCAGATCAGAAGTTAGTGACTTTATGGACTGATACCACGTTTTGGTTTGGCCGCCCGTAAGTTTTCCATCCATCGCCGATACTAGTCAGCATTGAGCATTGTGGTAATCGGTGTTCATGCATATGTAACACGTGGCCCAACCATCTTAGTCGATGAAGATTTACAACTTCATCAACCGACTGACCATCATTCCCTAATACCCTGCGTTTAACCTCATTATTACTTACCCGGTGATCCCAACAGATGCTGACAATATTTCTAAGACATCTGTGACCATATACCAGTAACTTACGAGTATCCGCTACCCTTAATGGTTACGTTTCGCAGCCGTAAAGTAAAACAGAACGAACTGCCGTCCTTTCATTGATAGACGGATATTTCGCCTTCTCCGTTGATGACGTAAGTTGACAAAAGTCAAACGAAATTTTCGAATCCGTGCTGAGATTTCGTCAGGCATCAACCCATTAGGGCTGATCAGACTTCAAGATAAATGAAGTTGTCGACGCATTCGACTAGGAGCAAGGTTTCGGTAGACCTGAGATAGTATTCCGCGCACTAGAGTCATTGGCCATGGTGACACTTGAGGAGGATTTTAAAGTCGGTAGTCGAGGTAGGAGGAATAATAGGAATTGAAGGGAGAAACTGATTACGAATACAGTGGTCTTGAGTGCTGTTAGAGGTATGAGGACGGTTTTCACTTCCCGGCTGCCCATACCGTGGAAAGAAGTTCTAGAGATACCCGAAAAGGAAATCGGGTTAGAGGTGGTTTTAGTGACCTCTGTGCCCAAGAGACAACTGCTTGAGGCCGGTCACACACGACATTTTTGTGGGTAGTTTTCGTGTTAGCTCTGTACTTGTTGGGACCATACTGGCGGAGACGGATATCCGTGGGATAAGGCGAGGTGTGCATTTCTAGCGTCGACCTTTTCTAACCTCAACCTTTCTCTGTGAGAAGGCAGTATTTTGTTATGCTGGTTGCTGAGGGGAACACCTCACTGACGTCACACCTCTACAGTCAGTTGTACGACTTTGGCCTCAGACCTTGAGTTTGCTGCTATTAGTTTTATTACGTAACTCAAAGTTCTTACCCATATACAAAATCAATGTTTGAATATGTTTAGGATAAATTTGTTTTAAACCTTGTTTATCCTTGATAATTTTGATTATTTCCCCTCAAAGAAATTTGGAACCAGATTGAGTGAAATATAACAAGTATTTAAACTTCATCCCTTGAAATTGTATTACATTTAAAATATAAGTTGTGTTGTTTTCTAGGAGTTTTTCACTTATCTTTATAGAGGATTCACAGTTGTAAACGTGACTCAGTTTAAATCCAGTTAACTGACCAATTTAATGCACACATCATTATAACTAAACTCAATACTGTTTCCCGACGGTTACTAAGCTTACTTTAACATGCGTTTGTGCGTGTGCGTATGGATGATAAATAAAATAGACTTGAAATTATAAGGAAATCCTGTTTTTTTTCTATTGCTTAATTACATACATGATTGATTTGACTTTTTCCGGAATTCCCGATGTGTTTACGAAAAACAAACAGGAGTTTTTAGTTAAAAGAGTTTTGTGATGATTGGTTTAATCTTTAGACTGTATTCGGTACAGATTGATCTGTTGATGTACTATTGGAAACTAGGTAATGCTTGACAGTTGTTTCATTCCAGCACGGAACTTCTCTGAAGTACCCATCTGCTCTTCAGGGATCGAATTCAGGTCTACTGACAAATCTCTGGGCTAGGGACCAGTGGTGCTCATTTCCAACTTTAATCAACTTCCTACATAGTATAATAATCGTTCGATTTTATTGGGTACTACTTCTATACTCCCAGTGCTGCCAGTGGTAACCTGAGTTCAATCTCTAATGAATACTACCTTAAAATTACACTATTAAATAGTTAAATTCGAATGAATGGACTTTTCTTTAGCTCATCCTAACACATTTCATTGCTTCTGTTAGTCTGTATGAAAACCAACAATGTTTCTCTCTCTTACATACACTTTTCCAGTTATTATTATTATTACCATTACAGTAATTAAAGGTTTATGTAATAGAGTCATAAAACTATTCTACTTCATCTTTTATACAAAACTATATATTTTGATCGGCCTATCACAAGTATTGATAAAACTTTTCTATCCTGAAGTCAACATCCTATTCTTTGTTCCATTCAATTTATCTGTACTATAATCGTTTAGATTTTTTAATGACTAGAAAACTCATTTATGGAATTTTTATTTCTTTTGTTTAATTCTTCATTGTTTGTTATTCTGTATGAGACTTCTTATGCATATTACTCATGACTTGGTATATTATTCCAAAATGTATTTAGACTTGTTTTTGTCACCATTACGAATCATATTTCAGCTTAACGGTGACAGCTAATAGAGGGATTCTTAATGAGTCTATAATTTTGTAGTATACATCACGGACTGATTCTGGTTCGACAGTCATTGAGAACCGGAAGCTATGAGCAACTGTTTTTTCCTAGTATGTAACTTCTCACCAGTGCACATCGAGAATCACAGGGGATCGAACTCATGACTTAAGTCTCACAGCATAAATTTGACCTTCAGACCACTGAGTTAGATGTTATCTAATGGTATATCGTTTAACCATAGTTTGAGCGCTTTCCATGAGATGTAATCATTTGTTTTTAGCCAAACGAGTGGATTGAATCGTTATCTAATTACCTGATGAAGCTTTTGTGGATAGAGTTAGGATTTAGATACAAAACTAACTCTAAGTATTTGATTCAGTTTTAATTACCACTTAATAGAGATTATTCCTGTTTAAACATTAACAACATATAGTTCAGCTAAGTGATCTCTTTTCAACTAATTTATTACCAAACTTTACAATCATATGAATAAATATATATGAAATTTCAAGTATTGATTCTGTGAGTTCATTTGAGCCGTAAATAAACATGATGATGCAATAGAAAAATCACGTAGTGTGAATAATAACAATAAAAGTGTGTGCGTGGAAATAAAAAACCTTATAAACTTAGTAAGTTAGCAATGGATTGTAATATGAAGAGAGTAAGATGATTAAAATGTTTTTGTTATAATAATTACAGGTATTGAAGAGGTTAAATGAAGTGATGTCAGAGGCAATAATGAATAGATGCATGGCACAAATCCATTAAGTCACTGACAAGTGGACTGAGCCATGTTGGTAGGTGTAGACTACCTGGTTGGGGTCCGCGAGATTATAGCAGCCGATGATTAGAGACCCTGAGTGATATGGCTGCAAATCGTTTGCAATGGCGCAAGTGCATCCACTCTTTGTGTCTTCCCAAATTCTAATCTTAATTCTTCATATCTTTTTTTCCTTTCCAACTTTATTTCACTGTATTATACTCCGCGAATAACATCTTCAAACCCTAACTTTTCTGATTACAGCTTATAGTTTTACTACATCTAGCATTACGTAATTTGAATCGACCACCGCATCTCTGTGCTAATGTGGTATGGCAACTCGAACTGATGTGCGTACGTACGAAGTTCTACGTTGTTACTGAGTAACTGACTGACAATCTCTACAAGACCCTTTTCTGAACATAAATAAGGGGTGAGAAATATTATCAAATGCAAAATCAATGGAACCAAAATGTGATAATAGTTTAAGGCCACTGTAAAGATAACAATAAGAAGACTTCTTTTTTGCACATAGTTCCAGGGTCATTTCATGGATACTGAGGGGTTTTTATGTTTTAAGGAGTCTAGCACGAATACGTTTGGGAAGATTTTATATATATATATATATATATATATATATATATATATATATATATATATATATATATATATATTTGAAAAGTTTATCATTCTCTCTTATTTTACATTTTACAATAATTAGATTTATTAGTTTGGTCATGTGAACGTGTTCAAGGTTGGTTAGATGAAATCGGTCTAAAAGAATATGCACCAAATTTAAATGGATCTGGCGTACATGGTGGTGTGATTGGTTTACATCCAGATTTAAATCCTCAACAATTAGCCTTAACATTACAAATACCTACATCGAATACATCAGCTCGTGCTATATTAGCTAAAGAATTAACGCAACTTGTACAACGTTTTCGTGCCAATGTACCAATTGCAGCGGCTAGTATTGGACCAGCTCCAAGAGTACTAGCAATGGAAGCCGCTGCTGTTGTTGCAGCTAATAGAGCTCGTGCGAAATTCGAGGGTCAAGATATTTGTTATCCAGATGACGGATTTAATGAAACAGCTGTATGTGATTTATTTTATTTTTCGTCTTTATTTTCTTTTCTAATTTATAATGAAAATGAGATTTGAGATAAGTGTTTTGTGTAAAGATTTGTATAATTTTATGTTGTTGATAGTTTCTTATGGATAGTAGGTTGACTAGATTACAATAATTTAATTCTTGACACATCAGTACATAAGTCATAGGAGTAGCTATCTAACCAAGGTCAGTTCGTGAAATAAACTGTAAAATTCGACGATCTATACAAACTGTACATCATAATAATAATAATAATAATAATAATAATAATAATAATAATAATAACAATAATAGTAGTGTTCGTTATTAACTGATTTTGAATGGAAATTTTTATTAATAAAATTTAAACGTAATATGTCACTACTCTACTTATAATACATCGGTTATCGCCTAGCCTTCCAAGCTCCTAAGTACAGGCTTCGACTGGGAACGCTAACGTTTAATTAAGGCTGACAAAATCTTAACTCTTATTGGCCCAGAACGTATGGCATTGTTCTAACCTAGTCTTTAGTTCAATAATACAGCACATCAGGCAGTGGTGCGATAGTTTATCTTATGTGAGTTAACTCATAAAACAACGCAGATTAATTACTTGATCATACATCAACATGAATATGAAATTACAATAGAAGCATAACTGCCTCAGAAGTAGAAGAGAATAAAGGGGAAAGAATAATGAATGATTAACCATAATTATGGAATAGTAAGACTTACAACAATAGTTAGTGGGTTCAGTGGAAGCTTACAATAATGACAATACGGAAACACAATGATACAGTTATCCGATAAATGTACAACAAAGGTATAAATAATAACAATAACTCGTAAATCATTCCCATGAGGTTCATTGTTTTCTGTAATTGCTCCGTTAAAATTATATTTCTGACAGTTCTGATGAGAGGAAGTGACCAATGGAGTTCAACCATGCAGTTACCCATCAATACAATCGGTAAATGATTACGCAATAGCGCAAATTGATTTAAGCTAAAAAGGGAAACCATTGGGTGCCGACTTAATGATCTACAGGTTGGTCTCTCACTACTAACCCTCTAGGTCCTAGATTCAAACCTTGATGGATATTTACGTTCTGTAGCTCTCCGATGTTTCCTTGTCCCTCAATGGTATGCTAACTACGATAAATTCATGACGAATATCATTCTACGGATTTAAATGATTTCCTCCAAAACATTTTATCTAAGTCGAGGATTATTTGTTAAATAAATTTACTAGTGTTTTAAATGTTCATGTGATCGACATGCAATGTATCCTTCAATCGAGTTTTAGGTCATCACCAATTGTATGAATAATGACTATGATAAATCCGTAGAATGTATAATGAGTGAAATAGTAACATAATTGCTAATACAGTGGAGGGGTCAAACATGGATTATGTGATAAACTGAATTATGGGCATTAAGTCAGAGATAATGCATATGATGTGAGTGTTAAATAACTTGTTTGGACGCATAGGGACAAAACGGTTACGAGAACGGAGTTAAAGAGAAGATTTACATGTAGCATATTTGGTCATCTTATAATAAAGATCACTTCCAGATTATCGAATATGAGGTTCACTAAGGCAGAAAATTAGCATGAACTCACTTTTTAGGTGTATTATATATCAAGTTTCTAAAACATTCTTATTGCAGTTCTCTCTACTTTCTTAAGGATTTAGAGAGTGACTACTTTTGACAAGTTATTTTGGATATGGTAGACAATTGGAATTGGTAGATTGATGTTAGATTTTTGGTTCACTTTGTCTAGATTGGCTGTGATGAAGCTGTTGATAATCTTGATCATACTTTTCTTTAGCACTTTTGTTTTTGCACTCGAAAGTGTTCACGAAAACAAGGAAGTAAATTCCAAGAACATTGAGCAGTGCAACTTGCTCCACTTAAGCAGTTGACTTCACAGATACAGAAACATTACTTTTTATTTTTGTGATTCATTCTAGAGAATTGTATTTTTTCATTTACTTCAGATTACCAACGATTGTGATGGAGTAGAGCAAATTGAGGATAGAGCTACACCTACAAATATTTCTGAACGAAATCTCAAAGATACACAAAGAACTCAGTTAGAACTACCTAATTCCAACTCAGATAAAATTGGTGGTACCAAAACAACCGACATATTATCATCATCATCTGATCTCGGATTAGATTGTTCCATCACTATAAATAATACTCCTACTAGTACTAATGTCAGTAATGCAGTTCCTCATAGTAGTAATACTTCTGCTGGATCTCCCACTACAGTATCACAAAAGAAACGAGCTCCTCAGGTACCTTCTGTTAGTGTGAATATTAGTAATACAACTCCTCTATCAAGCACTACAACTCCAATAACAAATAAAACAACAACTACTTGAACAATCTTCATTATTATTTATTTATTTGGCACGTTTTCTTTTTGCACTCACATTTACAATACAAGAAGAAGAATGTTCACTATTCAATGGTCAATCACAGTGAATTTCTTTCTTGAACAATGACTGTTCAAATCCTATTATTATTATTATTTACAGAAAAAATGGAAATCAGATAGACCTAATTTTCGGTTGAAGAATATAAAATAATGGTTAATCATAATTTTAATGTCATAATCACTGGAAACTTTGAGTCAAATTAAATATGTAAAACAGAACCGTTATCTTCTTTCTTGATTCCTCTTGCTCTCTCTCTTACACTCAATCTTCGATCAGATATTTTATTGTCATTATTCCATCGAGCTACACTAATAGTAAATACTATCTCTTTTCTGAATTTACCCTTCCTTTTAAATGATAAAAAGATAACTAGTTATTCTTACCTAAATTATTATCTCATTTGATATTTTATGCCTTTTTGTGTTTTGTTTATTTGTTGCCCTATTGTATACATGTTTTACTTTTTCTTTACCGTTCAATGTTCTTTCCTAGTTTTTTTTTTGTTAAAACAATTTTGATCTCATGATTTATATGCGTTTAATGTTTCCTTTTTTGTGGTTAACTCGTATCTTTTAATTTCATCAGTTAACTTATATTAGCATATACAAATCGATAGTATTGTTCAAATGTATTTGAAATGGAGCTAATGAATGAACAAGGAGAGTATATATGTGGTTTCATTGCCTACTCTCATCTTCACTACATTTTCTCAATAATTTTTAGTTCTTTTTTATACAAAATCTACCTCCCTTCCTCCGCATCTTCCTTCTATGTTCTATTTCTACACCATTCTACTTCATTTATTTCAATCAACATGTAATATGAGAGGATCCAAACTTCAGAAGTGATGGTCTTTCAATTAGGTAAAATTCAGTTTTCATTTCATCTTGTCTACTCAATTTGTATATCATTATTGAGCTGATTTCGTGTCTCCATTATTAATGTTATTTGTTTACTTATCCTCTCCTTTTTATCCCATGGTCTAACAACATAAGTTTCAAATACAAAAGACAAAAATGTAAGGAAACTTTACATACTACTTATTACTTGGTATGCGCAGATGAAAGTAATATCGCACAACTAAACATTAATTATCTCATGATTTGCATGGATTTATTACAATTTTCTGTAATGCATTTTATCCTGTCTGTCATATATATCCGTGCAGTTTACATTTTTAGAAGTAACGTTACACTTTTCTATCATTGTATTGAAAAAGCCACGAGATAAAGAATGATTATCTTCTTTCTCCACCTCTTTTTTGTCTATTTAACGATGAATATCAAGATCAGATGATTATGGCAGTGCTATTGATTAACAAATTTTTTTTAAAAAGGAGTATCTTGTTTTTATGGTTTCATACACATGTCATTTATTTATAGCTTGCTCACAATCACGCATATAGAAAGCACTAACTGACATACTGTTACATTATAAATACCCATAAAAGCATACATACATATATTTTATATTTTGTACATAAATTTAATTATTATGATTTACTGATAGGCTTGTTTCACTCATCCACTTTTTTATCTTTTCTGTTTGTGTGTGTGTACGGTTATAGTTTGACTATTTACATTCTTAGCGCTGCTAATTCTAATACTGTTATGATCACTACTGATAATAATTATTACTACGATCATGATTATTGTTACTATTAGTAATATTATTATCATTACTACTATTGGTGATGTTTATGCTGAAAACAATTAGACAACTGTTTGTACATTCGACCTGGTGACAAAAAGTATATATATAATGGTACAGAATAAATCTGATTTTTCATTTTCATCAGTGTGATTAAAGGTAGGATAGAAACAATCTAAGAAACACAAACATGATCCGTGATTTGATTGGTTTCCTACATGTATGTCCACTCAAACACAGTAGTGTCCCACTATAAAATAATAATTATATTTTGTACTTAACGATCGCCAGTACTTAGTAATAAATACTTAGTATTCGGTCGTTCGCTACTGTATGAGTAACCTTGAATTTATTTACATGATTATAGACTGGAGTAAAATGACAAATAAACCATACACTTAGTCCTTTTTGGACATTTAAAAAATATATGCGTTCATCCTAAAGTCAAGGTTAATATGATAATTAAGCAAACCTACTACTGTACTTTGGAAGTTTCGTTTATGATAATTAATTATCGTATTTTACATATGTTTGTGACATCAACATCTTGCTTGACAAATGTCCTTCTGCAAATTTTAAATTACTTCATCCATAAACTTACTTCCTTATGCCTGTTACTCCTAATGGAGCATAGGCCACCGACCAGCATTCTCCAACCCACTCTGTCCTGGGCTTTCTTCTCTAATTCCACCCAGTTCATGTTCATTTTTCTTATGTCTATCTCCATTTCCCGGCGTAATGTGTTCTTTGGTCTTCCTCTTTCCCTTTGGCCTTGAGGATTCCATGTGAGGGCTTGCCTTGTGACGCAGTTGAGTGCTTTCCTGAATATGTGTCCTATCCATTTCCAGCACTTCTTCCTCTACTGGGACCTGGTTTGTTCTTTTCCACAGTTGGTTGTTGCTAACAGTGTCCGGCCAACGGATCCGAAGTATTTTGCGTAGACAACTGTTAATAAACACCTGTATTTTCTGGATGATGGCTTTTGTAGTTCTCCAGGTTTCTGCTCCATACAGTAGAACTGTCTTGACATTTGTATTGAAAATCCTGACCTTGGTGTTGGTTGACAGAGAGTTGTTTTTAGTTCCAGAAGTTTCTCTGTTGTAAATATGCTGCTCTTGCTTTGCCGATCCGCGCCTTCACATCTGCATCAGATCCACCCTGTTCATCAATGATGCTGCCCAAATATGTTAAGGTTTTTACATCTTCCAAATCTTCTCCGTCAAGTGTAACTGGATTGGTGCATGCTGTATTGTATCGGAGAATCTCGCTTTTACGTTGTGTATATTGAGACCCACTGCTGCTGAGGCTGCTGCTACACTGGTCGTCTTCTCTGGCATTTGTTGTTGCGTTTGGGATAGAAGGGCCAGATCATCTACGAAGTCTAGACCGTCAAGCTGCATTCAAGATGTCAATTTTATCTTGCATTACTCTTCAGATGTTGACGTATTCGTGATCCAGTCGATCACCAGGAGAAAGAGAAAGGGTGAGAGTAAGCAACCTTGCCTAACACCGATCTTTACTTCGAACGAGTCTGTGAGCTGTCCTCCATGCACGATTTTGCAGTTCAATCCATCATAGGAATTCTGTATGATATTGACTATCTTCTGCGGCATGCCGTACTGTCAAAGAAGCTTCCATAGTGTTGTTCTGTCCACACTGTCAAATGCCTTTTCGTAGTCAATGAAGTTGATGTAGAGTGATGAATTCCATTCAGTTGATTGTTCCACAATGATCCGTAGGGTTGCGATTTGGTCTGTACAGGATCTATCCTTACGGAATTCTGCCTGTTGGTCACGAAGTTGGGCGTCTACGTAGTCCTTCATCCTATTTAACAAAACCCTGTTGAAGACTTTTCCCGGTATTGAGAGAAGAGTGATGCACCTGTAGTTATCACACTTGCTGAGATCGCCTTTCTTCGGTATTTTGATCTGGAGTCCTTCTTTCCAGTCTGTTGGTACTTGTTCCTCATCCCAAATTTTATTGAAGAGAATGTGGAGTATCCTTGCAGTTGGCGCTACGTCTGCTTTTAGTTCCTCTGCTGGAATGTTGTCTGGTCCTGCTGCTTTGCCACTCTTGATTTGCCTGATGGCCATGCTGATTTCTTCAATTTTTGGTGGGCCAACATTGATTGGGAGGTCCGTGGGTGCTGCTTCGATGTGGGGTGGGTTCAGTAGGTCTGGTCGATTCAAGCGTTCTTTGAAGTGTTCTACCCACCTGTTTCGTTGTTCTTCAATGTTGGTGATAACCTCACTGGTCCTTCAGGTTTGCGACGATTTCCAGAGAGTTTCTTTGTTATGTCATACAGTTGTCTCATGTTTCCCTCTCTTGCAGCCTTTTCCGCCGTCGTTGCTAAATCTTCCACATATTTACGTTTGTCAGTTCTGATGCTCCTTTTCACTTGTTTGTTTACTTCTGCGTATTCAGCTTGTGCCTTGGCTTTCTCTGCTATCCATAAACTTACTGAGAATTAATTTCTATTCGTAACTTGTAAAAAAAGACTCGTTCCAAACAGGCTATGAGATCACCATAACATGCGATTGGTTGCTGTCCCAAAGAATTATGATTTTTGGTGTGATAATTTGTTAAGTATCCTAATGGAACACTGGTTTCGACTCTTAAACTCTTCTAGTAACTTCCAGGCTAGATCTACGCGGTAATTTGAACACAAGAGAAAAGACGCGAGATATGGAAGAAACGCTTTACTCAGAAGGTCCGTTTATGTATAGAAAACTCACGGTTTTTATAGAATTTTAGATTGCCTTGGGTTTCTGGAACGCTACTAAACAGTAGCATTATAGATAATCATCCAACCAGATACTCGACATGTGACTGTTCACTTTCTAGATGTTTCTGGCAAAACCTCTAGTGAATGCTGATTGGATAAGATACTCCTCAGTGTTTTCAGAACTCCGCCTGTAACTCTTCTAGAGTTACTGCCGGTCCCAAGCCCGGGTAAAGGAGGAGAGTTGGGCATGGGGTTAGCGTCCCCATTCCGTACAAAACTAACTCGCTAAAAAACGCTTACCAGTGTTTTCAGAGCCTCTGTTCGCTTTTTTCGAGTTTTCTGGATCTCCCCAACACAACTGGATCATAACCTTTCTTAAAGCTACAGCAGTGGAATGATTTACTCGACCAAAAGGCGTATATTTAGCAGGCTTCATAAATAAAAGAGTTAAGAAAACCAGCTTTTTGTCATTTTTCCATCTTATGTAGGCTTGTCAATGAGACATCGAAATGCAGAAGCACTCATCGCCAGTCCATGGTTTGATCTCCATAGGTATCAACATTGAGTATTGCTAATGGTAGGATGAATCATCCGTCAAGTTATCTATAAGTTTTAACTGTTGTCCTGTTTTAAAGCTATAAATCCGAATACTTGTGACATCTTTATGCCAAACCTCTTCAGTCCGAAACGAGAGGCTGGAACAGACGGTGACCATATCGGGCACTTGACTGCAGTATTTGTACTAACTGAGGATTCCACTGTTCTTGATCGAACACTAATTACGAATCCCAAATATAATACGTCCACCTGTACACATTTAGTTCAAACTGCCTTAGTGTGCTATCAAGAACAGAGAAATCCTCAGTTAATAAAAATACTGCGACCACCACAACTTATTTGGGAATCGAAATTTGTGTAATTCATTACACGTGTTCTCCTTCACTCCATCATATGTTTGTCCGGCTGTGTATCGTGTATAGACTCTGTCTGATCTACAATGTACCCATTAGTATTAGGACTGACAACGGAAATAGGAATGGACTCATTTGGTCCCTGGAATTATATATCATCGACATTTCGGTTATGTGTAGTCAAATCATCAGTATCTGGAATTCGAGACGTAGGTTTTCCAACCTTCTTGAACACGGTCATCATGGCTGATCGAAGGTAATTTTCACGATAACATGTAATCTCTGTGGATTCTTAACACCGCATAGTGGAGGAAAGAATCCTTCCTTTCATTAAATTTGTTATAATTTCTTTCGATGCAGAATGTTTGGTATTTCTATATTGCAGTAGGAATGTATCGACTCCCCTCTCTAGTTCATTAATTGTTGGAGCAGCAATTGAATTAGTAGCAGTTTTTAAGGTCCTTGCGAAATTTCTCGCCTGACCATTAGAACAAGGATACGTGGAAACAGTGAACAGATGTCTAGATCCTGTACCATTCAGTCAAGAGGTGACTGTGTCTGAAGCAAAGTGAGAGTCATTATCAAATACTAACACCATTTGTATCCCGAAATTCTTTGATTGTAAAGTCAGGATTTGGTGAAGTTGAGAAAACACTCTAGGTCACTTAGAAAACGAATCATAGACAACTATTTGATAGGAAATGGACCACAATAGTCTGCATGAATTTTCTGCCAAGCACATGACGAAACTGACCATGGAGTCAACTTTGAAGGCTGATTTCTAAACTGATGACATTTTTCACAATCGTTTGCTGTACGACATATATCTGTATCTATCTCTGGCCAACAACATGTGATCATCTCCAAAGACTTCATTTTCTCAACACCTAAATGTCCACTATGAAGATCTTCAAGGAAAACGTTTTGCAAAGAAGGAGGAATAACAACACGAACATTTAAACACAAAATACCATCAGGAGTAACAGGTAACTCATCCCGCATTGAAAAATAAACAGGAAATCTACGTTTCAGATGATCATTCCAACCTTTTCGTATAGCACTGAGTATACATTCAAAGTATCTAAGAGTTCCTCCAATGAGATCCGGACGTCCTACCGGCAAAGGTTGTACTAACAAACGCTGAAGTAATAACAGGTCAATCTTGTAATGATTATCGAGAAATGTAGTCAAAATGTTGAATTTATTAGGCACTTCTGTGCTGAACCATATAGTCATAGGCACTCAAAGCAATAATCCATAGTTGAACTGTAGCAGCTGAAGAACGTGCTAATGATTCTTCAGGATGACAAATGAACTTTAAAGCTTCATAATTAGTAACAATAGTGAATTTCTTTGAAAACAAATATTCATGAAGTCTTTTAACAGCCTAAAACACAGCTAATGCTTCTCGCTAAGTTTGTGAATAACTTTGTGGAGTAACATTAATTTTGCGTGAAACATAGATGACTGTCCCACCTTCGTACTCTGAA